GACCAAATTTTATTCTAATGTTGAATAAAAATAGGAATTATCTTAAAATATTAACCCTCCTTACAATAAGTAAATTATATACTTTAATTTTTCTGTGATAAATACTCAATTAATGCTTAATTTTTACTACTTCTTAGTGGTCCATCAAGATTCACAATGGTAGCAATGAAGCGCTTTCTCAATATAAAATGAACATTACCTCCATAGCACCACTTTTAGAAAAATTGGCAAAGACTAGTGATGTTTATTGGGTCTTACAAGGTAAGGAATGTGTAATGAAAAAATGTCACATTGTATATATTTTGAGGTATAGGTTTTTATTATCTCCTGTTTCAAGATGCAAAATTATTACTTTATGAGAATAAATTTTGAAATAAGGTTTGCAAGATTAGAATAAACCTGAGTTATTTGCTTTCCTTTTTTAAGTGTAAGGAACAGACTAATAAATATAATAGGTAAAAAATAAACAAATAAAAAATATTCTCCAAGGAACCTCAATAGGCAGAATGGTTGTAGAATATAACAAAGAGATAAGTCCTAAAGGCAAATGAGATGTTTACCTCTGACTTTTTGTTTTTTACAAAGTATATTTATTGTGATTGGTAAATATAGAGAAAAAATATTAATAACTCTGTTTCATAATATTAGAATCATTGGAAGTAAATATACTTTTGAATTGACAGAATATATTTAAATTCACACCATCTAGTTTATACTTAGTAATGAAATTCTTTAAGAGAAAGTAGATGTTAGTTAACTCATTTCAAGAGTTTGTTGAATGTCCATTATTTAATGCCTAGCACAATATGAAATGCCCTGGATATTTTAGCAATTCAAGTTGTTTGTCAGAAACTCTTATTATTTCCAAGTTGAATGTCGAAATGAAAAGAATAAGAGAGGGTGGTGATAATCTGTTCTATAATCCCTGTTTTATTCACAGACTCATTGTTAACCTTTCTCTTACTGAGAAAAAATTAAATTTAAATTATTTGTTGTAAGTGATAAGAGAATAGGCAGACCTTGATCCTAAATAATACTGACTCCTCACTGTATGAACAAAGTTTACAGAATTAAGTAGTGACAGGAGGAAAAAAAAAGGGCTGCTATTCTTTTTTTTTCAACTTTATTTATTTATTTTTTTAAGGGCTGCTATTCTTAATTAGGCAATCTTCCATAATCCAGTTTTGATGTCTTATTACCTAGTATAAACCAGCATCCAAAATTTTTAAACTCTTAAGAGATGCTAGAACATAAAAGTGTTTCCCCAAAGCTATGTACATAGAGAAAGGAGAAAAATTCTTTAAATTTGAGGGAGATACTGATTGACTCAAAAACTAAATATAAGGTAGGAAATCTATTTATCTTGGCCAGCTTTATGTACAAATGAATTATTAGGTGCCTGGTATCATCTGCACTTTAAGAACAAAAGATGAAATGTGGATCAACTAACTTGCATGTTCACAATTTGTTTTTTTTTCATGTTCACAATTTTTACCAGTAGGGATTTTTAAAATGTGTTTTTAAAAACGTGTTTCACATGTAGATCCTGTTTATGAAGATCTATTAAGTGAAAATAGAAAGATGATCACTAATGAGAAGATAGATGCCTACAATGAAGCTGCAGTCAGTATTTTGAATAGTAGCACCAGAAATTCTAAATCAAATGTTAAGATGTTCAGTGTTTCCAAATTAATTGCTCAAGAAACTATCATGGAATCTTTGGATGGCTTACATCTTCCTGAATCAAGCAGAGAAACTGTAAGAATTCTTTTATTTGTCAGTAGATGGGGACTATAGTATCAATTAGTTATAGCTGTAAGTCATTATAACACGGTTATAAGTAATTTACTTAATTGCAATCTTAATTACTTATAGTTATTCCATCTAAAGGTACATCTAGAAATAATTTTGCTTTCTCTCATCTAGTTGAACATATAAGTAGGAGTTTTAGTATACTATAGAGAGAAAGAAGTGATGGAAGGTATGAAATGAAACTTCATTTATTGAGTGCTAATCACTGTTAATATACTTTGTCTCATGGGACATCTACCAGCAATCTACCTTGTGTTTTATGCTCTCAGCATGCTGATTTTTTAAAACCTACTGCTTTATGTTGTCCTTACCTTAAACTTTTTAAGCTTACAAGATTAAGCTTCAACGAAGAGTACATTTTTTAAT